GCCCAAGAGCAAGCCTGGACGTCTAAGCGAACCATATCTCACTGATTGCTGCGCATTTGGGGAGAGCCACCAATGCACGCTCAGCTGACCTTAGACTTGCCAGACCCGAAACCAACCTCAGAAGGACTCTTAGAGCAACCTCTTAAACGAGCCCGAGACCCACGCGAAACTCATCTTCAAATATCTGCTCAGCTCTGCTCATTTGGCTTTCAACATTGCTTTTTGACGTTGGTATGTTCGGAGCCCGGTTTGATCATTTGTGTTTGATCCCATGAGCATTTTGTTGCTGATGTAGGTATACATACTCGTTTGACTTTCAACTCTTTAGATCCGTTGTGAAACCGGGCGACACTTTGCATTGCGTGCAAATGCGACGCCCAGGGCTCTGAGAGTACTTCATTCGCTCTGCCGAGGATTTCGCTCAGCGCTTTGGATGAGGCTGTGTCGTTCTACGAGCACTTTGGGTTCACTGACATGACCAGCACCCTTGCTGCATCGAAACGCTTCGGCATTTCGGGAAGAAGGCAAAGCTAGTAAGATAGAGTATACTGCCCCTGAACCTGGGAGGAGCAGGTCCCTGCAAATTCAGCAGTTCGCATCCTGGCTTCTGGCGGGCTGGGAGGCCTTCGTTTTTTTCCCCGATGAATGGGTGTTGCTTGGCTGATGTGCTCGACCGCAAGGTGATGATTTGGACGACGATGAACATATTCAGACGATTCTTGGCCGCATAGAGTGAGGTCAGGGAGGAAGTGTAGGCTGAAGGTAGCACCCACGCCTTGCCATGTTCAAACGGAGCTGGCCACCCTTCCACGGAGCTTTGAAGTTTCAACATTAGGCGTTGAAACTTGTGTGAGACGCATTCTGCTTCTTCGGAGCGTTGCAAGTTTTCCTGGGGAAGCTCTTGTCATGCTTATCGCAACTCAATAAGACCCAATGATGGCAATGTTCTGGGCAAACTATCTCTATTCTTTGTGGGCCCCGTCCGATCCTGGGCACTTCCAGTACATACACGAACTTGTTTCTTTCAGTCCTTTCCTTTTCACACCAAAAGCGGTCTTACACGTTGCACTAGATCTGGGGCGCTGTGCTTTGGGCAGGTCTTTGGTGTGGCTCGCGTTCAGCATGTCGGATCCAAACCACAGGACACAGCGATTGATTTGGGCCGGGCCGGATGCTCAACCCAGGCCTGCCAACGTTGGGCTTTCCCTTGGGTACATCACAAAAGGGGTTTTGAAACCGCATAGCCGCCAGAGCATAATCATGAATGTGAGTAGCTCGCTGAAAAAAAGAGCCCCGAAAACCGCTCACCTAAGGTGGATGGAGCTGAAAAACCTCTCGGTGCTTCGGCTGCAGGTGGAAGGCTGGAGAGGTTGGCCTTTCCAGTTGTTGTGTCCCCCACCAGGGGAACTCTCCATTTCCTGATGGCAACCGAATTCCCCAAGTCATGGTTGCCTGGAGAGCCAAGTGCAGCATGCCCATTGTCCGCCACAGGCAACAGCGGTGTGACATGTCATGGTGTCGGCCTCGTGTGCCACGTTCGAAAGGCATACAACCAGCTGGGCAGCCATCATTGCCATAGATTACTAACCCCCCCCCCTTGTACCCCCCCTCTTTTCATTTAAGTGTAAAATGTTCATCTGCCTAGGGTGCCTGGGAGAGGTCCTTGGGGGAATGCACTTCCAGCCCCGCACGCTAGCAACACTCCTTGGGAGAGGCTTGAATCACGCGCATTGCATTTGCAAGCGAAGCGTTTCGATCAGTAAATGCCAATTGCGACAACATACGAGACAGGCTAGCCTGAAACTCGTTCCTTTGCTAAATGACTCGGGAAAATTGCTCCCCTAAAGCTCGTCTCTTTGCTATTCTCTTTGCCAAATGCTCCCCTACGACTCAAGCCCTCGCCAGTTTTGCTGGGTTTGTCCGAAAATCCACAGAAAACAGTTTCGGGAAGCCAAAACACTGAAAAAACTTGAGTTTGACGGACCCCCCCCTTTCAACTAGGTTACTAATAGCGTACTAATAGCAGCCTATTAGTCAGCTATTAGGGCCCCAATAGACTTACAGACCCCCCCCGGTTTCAAACAGCTTGCTAATAGGTTGCTAATAGCAGTGACTGGCCTAGACCCCGCGAGCAATGCAATTCAGCCAGACTCCGCCAGACTCGGACGCTTTGATACCTTTTCTGCCACTCGGCATTTTTGCCGTCCAGTTTGAACAGCTGATTGAACCACTCAGACTCCCAGTGGACTTGTACATTGCTGAAATCTTCGGGGATTAATGTTGTGATATGACCCAAAACTTGGCGGCTATCCGACGATTTCAGTACCAGCCATCGCGGCATTGCAACAACCTGCCGCCTGTAAAGACTTCGAGCGTTTGAAGCAGCGTGACAACCCCGCACAATCCTGGAGGAAAATATGGCTGCTTATAGCTACCTAATAGCAGCTATTTGTACGCTAAAGCCGGGAAGCTATTAGCAGCTATTAGTAAGCTGTTAGGAAGCTATTAGTAAACTATTAGCGCACAGCCCTGCAAAGACCTATGAAATGGGGGTATAAGGGGGGAGGGGTTTTGTAGTCTATGGGATTGGAAACCCAGGCTTAGATGGTTGTGTTTATAGCTTGTTGGTTCCCCCAAAGTAAGACTGCGTAGCCGCCTTAGGAAGAAGGAGGGCCCTATAACTTCAACCATTTGTTGATTTTCTGACATCAAGTATGCTACGTTCAACACAGCCTTCTGCTTCGGGTCGGTAGAGGCAATCATCAATCCTTTGAAAGGGATTTTGGCAATTTTGGCAACCATCCCAAGGATGCCATGCAAGGGGGGTTCATGACTCGGGCGGCCTGCGGTGTCAAAAGTTGATTTGTTGGGTGCGAGGAATTGGGCTCCGTTTTCGCTTTGTGGGGCTGCAGGGTATCAACTTGGGCGTTTGTGGAGGCTTCTGACATCGAGTGGGAATGAGGGGAGTTGGGCCCCAAAAAGGGGCAACCTGAACAAGTCCAGTCTCGCTGAATGGGTTCCCAAGGCCAGCATTTTGGCAACCTCCGCTCTGGGGAGGAACCCAAACTTCCGACCTCCTTCAGCGGGAAATGCTGACCATTGGAAGGGATGCGATCGGGTGTTCTGTCTAAAAATCTTGAGGTGGCTCCAGAGGAGGATTCTGATGCTGAGACGGACTGCTCAGATGCTGAGAGTGATGAGGACTGGATTGGCGGGATTGCTGGCAGGGAGGCATTGGTGATGTGAGCGATTGACACGGAGTGAACCTCAAGGTCAGTCGGGGCACGAGTATTGACCATGCCCCATGCACAACGTCACACTTCTTTACCTGCGCAGCTCGAAAAGAATGACAAACCCACATTGGCTGAACATTGGCGGGTACAAAAGAATAGCCAAACCACAAGGGCACAAGGGTTGAACATTGGTATGGGATCCTGGGGTTCGTTTCCGGCTTCACGACTCCAGCCTATGATCGGGTCTCCCCATTCGCCGCAGGAAGTGGAGCTGTCGACGGCCTCTGAGTGAGGAAGACAGCGGCTGGCAGACGGCAATTGGGGGAGCAAGTCCAAGCAGTCTGCGGCCTTTCGGGGATGCTATGTCAATTATTTCTCTATATATATATATATTTGTAACACACATCAGGAATTTGAAATTCTAGCTAGATGGAACTCAATCATTTGGGCTTGCTTTTGTGCGAATCGAGTTCCCTTTGGACAACTCTTCATTGCGGGGCATCTCACAGAGACGCAACATTAACGGCAAAATGGACTTACCTTGTGGAGACGCATGATTCTGTGTCCGTGGTTTTTGTTGGCTGCCTTCAATCGTGGCTTGTTTGGTTCCTGGCGAATGTGTGTGTGTGTGCGCATGATTGAGGGTACTTGGTGGCAAAGGGACGCCAAAAGGAATGCGACCATGTCTTGGTCACCCCCTTTTGAGACACATACCCGTTTCCAACGAGCATCTGAGGTTCCTGCACGTTCCTGCATGATCCTTGGAGGCAGGGCTTGAAGGAGCCATTCAGCCTCATCGCCCACCCGAGCCTAGCTTCCCGTTCATGTCGCTTGCGTTCTGCCATCCTCTGGCTTAGAGTTGTGGGAGTGCGAGCTTATGGGAAGAGATCTATAACAAACGCCACTACACCACATACGATAGACTTCAAAATTTGCCACCGACTGAGCTGTGTTCACTTCAGTCTGCAGCACGACGTGATTGTTCAATGAAGCCTTCCCTTTGAACGAATCACTTGCGCTGGCGCGCAAGTTTGAGGATTTCCTCCAATCGCCAAAGGCCCACGTTGATCTGGTGATTCGGTTGGGTTTGTTTCTGTGAGACTCTGCCTGACAGGCTTCCAGCATTCACTTCGTTGGTGCAATGTCGCCATGTGCGAGCCCGCGCCTCGGGACGCCTTGGCAGAGGTTCCCCAACTCACTCGGCGTATCCAAAACAAATGCCAAAGAGCAAGGAGGAGGGGAGGGACGTAAACACCCCGTTCTTTTCATGTCCATTTCATATGTAGATTTATGCCCATTTAGCCAAAGAAGTGATGCTGCCGGCTCAGGTCAGCACAATCTGCTGGACAGGCCCGTGCCTGATGTACAGTGTACAGAAGACGGGCGCAGCGCCAAAACGGGGCGCTGCTCATCGGTTTCTCTCTGCCGAAGTGCGGACTGATTTTCGGCGAATGCCGAAGGCCGAAGGCCGGGAGAGTTCAGAGCTTTCGGCTCCAAGGCCGGAACTCCGAAGCTGAGCTCTCGCTCCACACTCGTTTTCACTGGGGTGCCTGTCCCCGGGTGCGGCACGTTTCCTAGGCACTGCATTTTCGCACGTGGGACGCGTGCTATTCTGAATTTGCTTCTTCGCCTGAGTGCATTGGAAAGTGAGTCACTGAGGCGAGAGGAAGCAAAATGGCGGCAGCCCGAGGGAGGTTCCTACGACTCGACTGCCTGTGCGGCAGTTTCCAGCGCCCGCAGCAGGTTCCCCAGCCGTCGGCTCGCCAGGTGATTTCCAGTCTGGGCACATCGGCGTGCGAGCTGGCCGCCGGGGGCCCACAAAAAGGGCCGACATGTTTCGTCCGTTGATCAAAACTACCAGTTTAAGAGGGAACTCAGCCGGCAAACCAGACAAGTCTTCTTTGTTGCCGAATTTCAAAAGCTTGGCGAGGCTGTATTCATTCGTGCCTCATAGTTGCAAAAAGCAATCCCTATAAATGGCATGACATTTGATGGTTGGAAAACCTTTGAACAATGGTTGGTGCCCCTTGTAAAAGATGCCCGCCACAGTGCCCCCAAATCAAAAACATGCTGAATGAAGAAGTGTTCGTGACAGCTCAGGCACAAGAGTCTAAGAGACTATGAGGAGGGAGTGTTGGGCAACTAGACAACTCCACAGCCAGACCAGGTATTGTTTTGGAAGGGAAGGCGCCAGTATGCTGATAGTAGAACTACAGTGGCCTCAACAGGTTTGGACATATGGCTACCCGGCTACCCAATATCAGAGGTGCGGTTGGGCCATTGGTAATTGGGTTCGAAGGAGAGGAGCACCTCACAGTTGGCCCTCTGCCGTTGGCTTCATGTCCTTGTCACAATGATTCGATGTGAAAGGGGCCGCAGACTGCAACCTTCCGAGAGGGCGTGCACCGTACGTGTTTAATTCTCTGATAAAGGCTGAGGCGAGATAGGTGAAACGCCATCTCACGAATCTACGATTCTTACTAGCCTGGAGACTCATGTCTCAATGACACAAGCATTTTTTACCCGTCTTCTGGTCACTTCGCTTCCTTGAAAGACTGTAGAACAAAGCCTTGGGAATAACTTGTAGATTCTACCGTCAGTTACATAGCAAAGCCCAAGAGCTCGATGTATTTAGATGTGTTTTTTTTTTTTTTGTCTTATTCGCTCGGCAGGCCGATGCTCCTGCGACCTCGCCCACATGATTCGTAACCTAACCACGACAGGGGGATGTACCTAGACCTACAAGAACAATGGAACGCATGCTGTGGGAGAGCTGGGCCCTTGGTTTCACTGACAGTCACTAATGGTCACCAGGTGGCCATGACATTCCTTGCTGTGGCCGCACTGGGTGTTACCGTGACCGCCAGCGCGTAATTCGCGTCAAAGCCGACGGCGGAGAATTGGTCGTTTTTCCAAGGCCCCCTATGGGTTTGTCTCAAAATAGTCGAACCCAAAAATTGGCGGTTTCCCTCCAACGTTGCTTTAATTTAAACGAACCCCAAACTGGGTGCCCTCATTAAAAGACACACTGTGCACAGTTGCCTGCCCAAGGCTCGCTCCGCAATTGATGGCTTGGGCCCAAGGGGTCAAGTGTCAAGGCTCCTTGGACGAGACGATGTTGCTCATTTCAACAGGTCCATAGGTTTGACCATTTGCCAAGACGTGCAGCAGGCCTTCATGTGGAGTAGACATACACGGGCTTTAGTCGGAGACCTGGTAACAATAGTGTGTGTGTGTGTGTGTGCGTGAGAGGGTACCCTTTTTAGGCTGGTTGTTGAACAGGAAGATGCACATTTTTCTGGGGGTCCCCCCATTGTGACACATAGCTATGCATGGAAACGGCAACAATGATCCCGGGTGCTTGGACTCTCTGCTGAGGCAGCATTGCGGATCCATGTGGAACCTGGGTTGATTTTGATCAAGAGGTTTTTCCTGTTTGACCAACCAGACCCTAGTGAAGGTTACTTTCCAGCATTGCAGGTTGGTTGGGTAGGGGCTGGGAGTTGGAACTGCTTGAGCACAACGCATCATGCGCCAGACTTAATTCTTTCCGTCCTTGCGGCAGTGGGTGGGCTGGGAGTGGTCAACCATGTTGACTTGGACGTTTATGTGATCTGCGGCCCAGTGGGTATCATCCGGCACAGGCTGTGCTGCCTTGCTGACCAGCCCACGGGTTTTGGCGGGAGTTTCGCCGTTCGGCACCCGCCGGGGACTCGCGCGCTGTTTGTCAAGATGAACCCGGTGCTCATTTCTGTGGTCAAGAGGCTTGCGTTACAACCAAGTCCTTGTGGCGCATCGAAGAGACGACTTCGCTTGATATGGGCCGGCCACTGTCGCGCTCCCGCTTATGGAGTGGTATTGTGGTGTGTTGGACGTGCGGCAGCGACGACCTGGTGCCTTTCCAGTGGCCCAATCAACCCCACAGCTTTTCCTTGGACCATGTTCTCTCAACCCTGCGGCCCCTCCATGACTCAGGCTATCTCTTGACTCCCAGATCTCCATCTACTCAGACCCGATTCAGAAGGCGACACTCCGTTCCTTGCCCTTCTCGGACTTGACAGCCTCTCGGCCACCTCGCTCCTCACCCTTCCACACGCAAGTCGCACCCTTCAACGAAGTCCCCCTGATCGAGCGTCCTATTTACCAACGATGCGCAGAGTTAGCCACACATGCTAATCTCGCCACACGGTCGCAAAGTCTCTGAAAGACTCCGCGCGCGCACGCGCCTAGTGAAAAGCAAAGACATGTGGAGTGCAAACCCCGTTTGTGCGACAACAAGATGCGGCGCCAAGAGGCATGCCTGCCATCATCATTCCTATACTGCTCGAAGTGACGCTTGTTTTGCTGTTGGATCCAAGCAGCTTAGGCATTCTTATCCTCGGGCGCCACCATGTCAGAGCTTTTGGGCTTGGAACAGCTTCAGGCTCTCCTTGCTCGCGCGCAGCTCCATAACTCTGTCAGGGGCACGCCGCTCTCGTATATGGAGAGAAGCGAAGTGCAGCAAATCTTGCCGTACAGACGTCCAGCCACGCGCGCCGTCCAGCCATGCATGCCGTCCTCCTCGCTTTGCAGAAGAGGAGCTTGCAGAAGGCTTGCGCAGTGGCCTGCTGATCCGGCGCATTTTTTTTGGTCCTGCTGGCGGCCCATTGACAATGCAAAGCGCATTGGTCGGACTTTGCGTTGTGCTTCCAGAACTGTCAGTTGATGCCCGCGGCACCACCCAATTTGCTTGATCTGCGAATTGGCGTGGGGGATTTGCTTGGCACTTGCTGGGGATGTCCCGTCCGCTGCGCCGCAGCGCGTGTGATGGTCTGGGAAGCTCTGTAGTCAGCTCCCTCAGGTTCCTGTTGCTGCACGTGAGGCCAGAGCTATGTGGATGCATCCCTGTACTGCGCGAAGCGGCGGCTTGTACACTTCCATGTATTCAGCCCAAGCAACCCACCATGCGGAAAGTTTTGGAGCAAATCGAGAGTGGATAGTTAGATAGACAGACAAACACATAGATAGAGAGAGGGAGATATACTTGGAGAGAAGGTAGGCTGGAAGCCCGAGCAAGAACCACTGCATGACGAAGTGCCGCTCTCGGGCTGGCTTGCTTGTGCACCTGGTTCCCATGCACACATCTTTGCCACATTCCTATTTGTCTCTAAAGCTGATGGAACTTCTGATGTCGAGTCCCACGACTGGTTGAGGCTTGGATTTCGAGAAGGCAGTGGTGGATGCTGTGGCCAAGGCAGGGGCAAAAATGGTCAGTGGGAAGGCCTTCCACTTCGAACCCAGTTCTCGCATGACTCACCAACCTGTTTTGTGGGTTTTCAGCTGGCACACTGAAAGCAATCCAGCCGTTTCGCAGGGCGCATTCCCTTTTGCTGGCAAGGTAGGAGACGAACACTGAAAGGGAGGAGGGGCAGGTGCTTCCACTCACAAGCGCGTACCTTCACAAAAGTGAGATGAGCGCTCAACACGCCACGGCAAAGGGCATAGAATTGCCAGTGGCTTCAACATCCATCTCAAGTTTGGTTCCAAAGCGAGTCCTGAGGGTATTTGCCCTTGATTCTGGCGGGTTTTTACAGGGAAACCACAGGAAGCAACCACCAACGTGCGGCACCCGTTGTGGGCTTCCTATTTGGGACCCAGGGCAGATCTGCGGGCTCTTGAAGCTGTGAGGCGACCAGCCGCCCCGCGAACGTGCGGCTCTTGTTCCGGTCGCCAGGGCCTCGTGGTTTTGCAGAGTTGTCATAGGCAAGAGACTTATCTCAGCCATGTGACAACGTGCCTAAAACGTATGGTTTATTTTGTCGCTTTGTTTTTTAAAGAAAGCTGGGCCGGGACTGGACGTGTTTCATCTCTTCCCCACCTTGAGCAACTGGAAGTCAAGGGGCATTTGTCCGCTTGTCCACCTCTCCCCTTTTTGAGTTGCTTCCCAGCACTAAACCAGGAACATCCCCCAAAAGAGAACACAGACCATCGTGCAACTAGTGTCAGCATGCATACCGCAGAAACCTCAGCACCAGGAAGGGCCAAGCGGGGAACCGTGGACTTGGCTTCGTGAAATGCCAAACTCAAGGGCCTCGCGGCATCCTGCGATAAATGTCCCTTGCACCACGCAAAATGTGCAGCGCATGTGTTGACGCCCTGGGTTCTAAGGACTGCTATCCCACTTGCCGCTTTCTCCTTGGCAGTTGGTTTAAAAGAACAACAGAGGCACATCAGACAGGAAGAGACTCTACTTCAAGGCCCACAACCTGCAAACCAGTCCGGCAAACAACGGAAAGCGCCTGCCACGGCATGCGATGGCTTTCCCTTGTTTTCCCTTGCTTTCCCTTGCCTTCCTTCGCTTGACCTTGCTTTTTCCCTTGCGTTGCCTTGCTTTCCCTTGCTTTCCCTTTCCGTTGCTTTCCCATCCTTGCTTTCCCTTGCTGTCCCTTGCTTTCCTTTGCTTTGCCTTGCTTTGCCCGGCTGTCCCTTGCTTTCCCTTGTTTTCGCTTGCTTTCCCTTGCTCTCCCTTGCTTTCCTTTGCTTTTGCTTGCTTTGCCTTGCTGCCCCTTGCTTTACCTTGTTTTCCCTTGCTTCCCTTGCCTTGCTGTCCCTTGCTTTCCCTTGTTTTCCCTTAGGTTTTCCCTTGTGTTCCCTTGCTGTCCCTTCCTTTCCTTTGCTTTGCCTTTCTGTGCCCGTGCTTTTGCTTGCTTTGCCTTGCTCTCCCTTGTTTTCCCTTGCTGTCCCTTGCTTTGCCCGTGCTTTTGCTTGCTTTGCCTTGCTGTCCCTTCCTTTCCCTTGTGTTCCTTTGTGCTTTCCCTTGCTGTCCCTTGCGGTCCTTTGCTTTCCTTTGCTTTCCTTTGCTTGTCCTTGCTTTCCTTTGCGTTGCCTTGCTTTCCATTGCTTTCCCTTTCCCTGTGCTTTCCCCTGATTTCCCTTGCAGTCCCTTGCTTGCTGTCCCTTGCTTTCCTTTGCTTTGCCTTGCTTTGCCTGTGCTTTCGCTTGCTTTGCCTTGCTGTCCCTTGCTTTCCCTTGTGTTTCCCTTGCTTTCCCTTGCTTTTTTGTTGCTGTCCCTTGCTGTCCCTTGCTTTCCTTTGCTTTGACTTGTTTTGCCCGTGCTGTTGCTTGCTTTCCCTTGCTGTCCATTGCTGTCCCTTGCTTTGCCTTGCTTTCCCTTGCCTGGCTTGCTTTCCCCTACTTTCGCTTCCTTTGCCCTTGCTTTCCCTTGGTTTGCCTTGCTTTGCCTTGCTGTCCCTTGCTGTCCCTTGCCAGCTTGACCCAAGTCAGAGCAAACCAACAATTGCACAACCCTCCTGCACTGAATCACATACAAGCAACAACCCAAACCAGCGCCCGTACTTACACACTCTGTGTCGTCTCCCTGGGACCTGCAAACCAGCCTTGCGGTGGCAGAAAGTGCTCCAAAAAATACTCCCAAAAAATGGGAGTATTTTTCCTGCGACATCCCCAGCATCGCCGACCACCGCAAAAACTTCCGAAACAAGCGACATCCCCTGCATCCCCGGCATCCCCTGCATCCCCGGCACCCCTTGTGCGCCCAAGTCCGGCGAGGCCGGAAGCAAAGTAAAATGATGTAAAACTGGCACGCTTTTTGGCCCGCGAGAGCCACAGACGAAAAGGTCAGACATGATAGGCAGCGTCGACGAAAAAGCGCGAAAAACACAGGGAAACACCAAAAACCAGCCTTGCGGTGGCAGAAAGTGCTCCAAAAAATACTCCCATTTTTGGGAGTCTTTTTCAGCTGACCAGACCTGCAAATCTCCCCGAACGAGGTTACCCCCCCCCCACACCCCCCCCCCCCCCCAACTTCGTACACTAACTCCCAGCGCTTCAAGAAGCGCTTTCCGTCATCGCAAGTGGGGGCGAAAGCCCAGAATTCAAACTTCAGCTTTTCCTTGCAGCTGGTTCCAGCAGGGTAACGCCCAAATTCATGGATCAATGGCTTGTCAAGGGGGGTGTCTCTGGTTGAGCGAGCCCCTTCTCAGGTTGGTCTAAAAGGACACCATTTGGCGGTTTCCCATTTTGACACATGGCCATAGGTCAAAATCCCGTACCCCCAGTGAACATCCCAATTTTTACTCTAGTAGGTTCTAAAATGGGCGGTGAATTCACCTACCAACCAAAATGGGATCCCATGGTTTTGACAACCACAGCCACGTATGCAAGTGCTTGCATCCTACATGATGCGAAACTGAAGGCGGATGACCTTCTCCCGCGCCGTCCGGCTGTCCACGCCGCTGAGAGGAGTGTGTGCCTGCACACCTTTGGGTAGACTGTGCGTCTTTTGGGGGAGCTCCCGAAAATGGCCCCATAGGAAAGGACACCAAAAGGACACCCTTGCCATTTGGGGTCTTGCAGTGAAAACGGGCCAGCAAGAAGTCGTTCATTGCTTGCTAGCTGCTAGCGCTGATACGGACAAGGTAGCCAATAATTTGCACACGCCACTGCACGATGCAGCAGAAGCGGGCAATGAGGCAATTGTGCATTGCTTGCTGGGAAGAGGTGCTGAGACAGACAAGGCAGACCTTAATGACCAAACGGCACTGCATGCTGCAGCACTGGAGGGCCATCAGCGGGGTGTGCGGTGCTTGCTGGCTGCAAGTGTGGACAAGGACAAGGCAGACAGCAACGGCCGAACACCCTGCAAGTTGCACCAAGACTGGGGCATGAGGGCAAGCAGCGCAGACAAGGACAAATGGGATGACAACGGTCACACACCACTAACACTATATGTTGCAGTACGGGCGGGCCATCAGGCAATTGTGCACTGCCTGGTTGGTACAGCGCCCAACAACAATATAGCAGACAGCAATGGTGGAACACCACGACATGTTGCAACGGAACTGGGCCAACTGGGTGTTGTCCAGCGCTTGCTGGAGGCACATGTTGACACAGACAAGGCAGACATCAATGGCCGAACAGCATCGGGTGGGTCTTCAGGGAGTCGTGAGCCTTTGGGGAGCTTTACATTGCTTGCTGGAAGCAAGCGCTGACAAGGAGAAGGCACGCGAGAATCGAAGAACACCATTGCATGTTGCAGCACAATAGGGCCGTTGGGTTTTGTGCAGTGCTTGCTGGCAGCGAGCGCATTGTGTTGGAAGAAGCACTCAGAAGGACAAAGCAGATAGCACGGATCGGAAGCAACACTGCCATTGAGGTAAGAGAAGGCCATTAGGGAGTGGCTCAGTGCAGGTCATGATCTAATTGACAAACCAGCGGCAGGAGAATCAACTGCCGTTGTTTTACATGCACATGTGAGAGACGTAACTCGGCAAAAAGCAGCAAACCGCAGCGCTGAGGTCAAGTGCGCAATTTTCTTTTTATGTCGGTTTTCTTGAAACATCCTCAAGAACAGGGTTTGGCTGTGTTGGCTGCTGGCCAATTCTTGCCGGCAAAGCCACAAGCATGGGGTTCCTGTTCCACTAATTGGCGGAGAGCCCAAGCAAAGGGCTCGCAAAGCAACCGCTCACATATACGAACAAGTTGGATTCCAGGGCAAAGCAAGGCATTAGAGCATATTGGAGCATAACCCGCAAAACTTGTCCACACCCATGTCTACCTACAAGCAGAGGCAACGAAGCCAGTCAGCGAACTCATGCTATTTTGTTCGTCAAACAATGTAAGGCTCCATATTCCGGCGGGCGTGCCCTTCGACATATCTGCTAAATGACATAGCTGCTTAAATCTGCAGGAAGCTGCCCCCACCCCCACCTAGGGTTTCAGCCAAACTGCTGTAGATTTCCCGACTTTGCTTTGCATCGCACACAGATGGCTTCATTGATTTCGATTGAAAGCCAGGAGACCTGTCTGAAGCCCTCTCCGACTGGCGCGCCGTTCGAGCGGCCCGTGGGGAGGCGGGGAGGCCGCTACGGCCGCCAAGGGGTTGGCGAACTGAGCGCTTGTTTGGCTCTCCAAATCCGTCCTTGCCCCTTTCCCCCGCTTTGCACAGAACCCCCCAACAGGGGCTCGAATCGGAGTTTGTCCAGATCAATAGAGCACGGGATGTTCCGGCCACTAATTAGTGGATGATCTTGGATTTATTTGGAAGACGATCCAAAGCCTCGAAGAGGAAGCGCTTTCTGTGAGTCGTAGCTTCCCGGCTAATTTGTGCCTGGCAATGATGCTAGTAGTTGTCATCGTTTATCTATGAGTTGCTGAGACGCAAATTCAATTGTTGACGTCTTAAGAGACAAGTGGAATCCTGAAAGCTTGAGGGACACTGCATTGCAATGTGAGGTTCCATTTGACACGGTTCCATCTATGGACAAATGGTGTGTGGCCCAAAGTATCAGTTTTTCAGGACCGAGTTAGTCCCCTATAGCCTATAGTGCAGATTTGGGGCAAGCGACCAAACGCAGGAGCGGGTGGAAGATCTTTCCAAACTACTGCACAAATTGTGAAACTTGGAGCTGATGCTAGAGGGAGAGTTGGCTCAGCTGGTTCTACGTCAAGCAAAAGAGGTCTTAACGCAATGAGTGCATGAAATTCCAGCTGCGTTCTGTAGGTCATCCGCGCATTCAGTAGAAAGCAAAGTTCCAGCAGGGCACAACCGGGACCTTATAAACTGTATTTTCTTTGCAGTGGAGATCGTGAACAAGCAACATTTGCATGTTACTAGACGTAGCGAGAATGAAGCTCGGGTTTCTGAGATACTGCCAAAGTTGGTTTTGGCGTTAGCATCAAAAGACATTTGAACATCTTAGAACTTGCATGGGACATATATACCCGTGTCATTGAAACTTGACATTTCGCCATAGTTTTATCTCATTTTTAACCAGCAAGGTTGTTGTTCGGGTATCCGCCGCCGGATCGGTCAGGTGCATGCACGGTGCCTGGAAGAGCACGAGCTCGCCGGGCGCTGGAGGAGTGGGGTGGTCCGCTGGCCCTCGGCTGGCCCAGTGGGCCTGCTTCATCCTTTCGTGTCCTCAGATTTATTCAGATCGCGGGATCAGGGGCGGTTCCTTGTGGAGTGTGCGGAGTAATCATCCATTTTGGGCACCAAATTCCTGTTGAATGCTCCAATGTCCGTCTTTGCCCATGAGGCAGATCAGGAACCAGAAATCTTCAGACTGCCGGGCCTGCTAACCTTTGCTTCCAGACGTCTGAGAGGGGCGAATTACTTTTTTTGCGTGCATAGTGTGCGGCCTTTTCTGTTGACCCTCCCCTTGTGTTCTGCTTTGTCTCGGCCAGTTTCTGCAAAGAGCCACGGCCGTTTTAGTGGTCCCACACGAAACGGCCGTTGGTTTGGGCCCATGCCGCCTCTAAAGGTGGAGCTCATGTCTCGAAAAGAGGAATTGACCCTTCCGCTTGGTCGATTTTTTCTTGAATTCGTTTTGAAACCCAAGGGGGTCTCCATGCGACAGATTTCGCTTTGTCTGATTTGCACTGCTTGGCTTCCCAGGAGAACTAGCGCAGCGTGGAGTGCCATTTGGGCCAAGAAGGGCATGACACCGGGGCGGCTGCAGAGGCGAACTCATCCATCTGCAATTGACAGACATGTCTTATCATGTTTTGCTTTGCAGGCAGCAGAAGGCGGAAGGCAATGCCAGGGGATCTTTCCACAACTTGTGGCTATGACTTTTGAGAGTTGGAACCACATCCTGCCGTAAATGCTGTCCACCAAGGATTCCTAATCAAAGGTCACACCGGCCCGGTATATTGCCCTCGTTGCGGTTCGAAGGCAGCTGTCCCAGAAGGAGAGTGCCTCTTTGCCTTTGCTGGCGCGCCTGGCAAGCAGAAAGCAGGGGGGCTCAGGACACCAATAATCTGACTCCAAGGTAAGCTGCGGGAGGAAGCGGAGAGCGTTTTGGGTTGATTTGAGGGAAATCACAGGGATGGGGGTGACCCCCTAAATGGCTTTAGAACAACCTCGCAAGCTGTGCTTCCTGAAACTGTTGAACCTGACAATCCTTTGTTTGGCGAAAACTGATACATTACCACAATGATTGTCCACGTGAAGCAGAGGATGAGACCCACCCTGAAAATGCTCCACCAACCCAAACGGAACCACGACTTGTCGACTTTGTGCTTCCCTTGCTCGTGCTTGGACTTGTTCGAAGCGCCTCTCCCGTCTGTTTCCGCAGGTCCTCGCTTTTGCAGCGAGAGATGGAGACGGAAATGGCCGGAGTCTCGAGTTCCAGCTGAGGGTTAAGCGGTTGCAAAAGTGAGGTTGTCTTATTGCCAGACGTAGCTCATACTTTTAGCTTCGGCCTTTTTATCCATAGGAATTGTTGGATTGGGTTGTACGGTTCTGACTGGTTGATGAGGAAATTGGATGACGCAAGAGCCCATGTCTCCATGACTCCTAAAGGCTTGGCAGCTCGCGAAGCCATGTGTAGCTGGATATCCTTTGCATTCTTGTCAGTTTGCCTAATTTACAACTGGAATAACACGCTCAGAATGTGCGGGAGAACTGTACTGACTGCCTGGAGCAGCCGCTCGGCTTTGCCCAGGACAGCCCCAAGGTGACCCGGCGCGCAGGAGCCACTGCGCGCAAGCCAACTGATAGCCCGCGATGTGTGTGATGTGTTCCTCTTTGGCTTGCAGCGCAGCGGCTACAGGCCCAAAGAATGGGACGCGGCGAACAAGCTTGGCCTTTGGAGGTACTGCCTGGCTCAAATCGTCTTGCCGTGGCTGTGTGGGAATGCGTGGCATGATCACACATCTGTTTGATGAGCGGCACTCCCCTCCAACGCTGGCAGGGATTAGCCCATGGCACGACATCGGTTGGCGCCTGTCTGGAGCGCAGCTGCGAACGAGAAACATGAAAAGAATCGATGCGTTTAGTCGCTCCTCCGTTCGGCCGTGACAATCCCAGTGTTGTTGTGCAACCTACGTAGACATTCATGGTCTTTTCTTTCACAACTTTTTAAGTAGAAAATATTCTCTGTGGGCCTATGTTGAAGAGATCGAAGTGCCTACACCTTTATGACAGAAACGGACGTGTGTCCATGCGTGCATGGTGTTGAGGTGCCAAGGTATGACCCTAGCATGGCCGGGAAAATAATATGTTCGTATGCATCTAGGCTTGCAGGCGAATGGGATGAGTGCCAGACCCAGATGCCAGTGTTCTGCGTTCGGACATTTGACCCTTCACCCCAACCATCCCCAACCCAAGCTCGCGCAGCAGCAATTCAGCAATTTCAGAAACGCTTCTACCAGATTGGTTGAGGTATTTGCACCCGCGCCTGCGGCCATGTTTGCGAAGGCAGACAGGTGGCGGAAGCCGCAGCCCGTCGGCCCTGGCCCGGGAGCCTATGAGGCCCCGTACGGGGCGGGCTTCACGTTCGGCCGGCGATGGACGCGCGACACCTGCCCGGGCCGTCAGAGGCATCAGAGGCGAGTGGCGGCGCCAGCATGGACGGCAACATGGTTGCCGTGAAGGTTGTGAACGAGAAGGAGAAGAACGAAGAGCTGCGGAAGGAGTTTGACATTCTCCAAATCGTGGCCGGGCACCCGCATGTGGTGAAGGGGATCAAGCTTGATGTAACTGGTGCAAGAAGCGCCATGATCGCCTTCACCACAGCATGATCAGGATCCCGGGCCCAGTGGCGCCGTTTGCGGTGCAGGATGTGGCCGTGACGCTGCTGAACGCCCTGAAGCACATACATAGCTTCTGCGTCGCGCACTGCGACATCTCCGCGCGCAACCTTTGCAGCCGCCGGGGCTGGGGTGGAAAATGGTGCTGATCGACTTCGACAGCGCCCAAATTCACCAAAGCTTGGAGGAATTGTCCGAGGGCCAGATCAATTTTGAACACTTTCGTGTGTGGCAGGACATTTCGCGCATCAACCATTTCAAAGTCTTTGAAGTGATTGATCCGTGAAATGTCCTGCCACACAGCACCCACAAATTGTCCACAAAGCGGACGGAGTCTTCAACAGGAGCCGCAGCAACACGTCCGACCCCACTCCGAGAAGTTCTCAAATCGTCTTGCCGTGGCTCTGTGGGAATGCGTGGCATGATCGCGAATCTGTTTGATGAGCGGCACTCCCCTCCAACGCCGGCAGGGCTTAGCCCATGGCGCGACAGCGGTTGGTGCCTGTCTGGAACGCAGCTGTGAACGAGGAATATAGAAAGAATCCATGCGTTTGGTCTGTCGTCGTTCAGCCATGACGGTCCCAGTGTTGTTGTGCAAGCTACGTAGACATTCATGACTATTCAATCAGAACATTTGACTCTGTGGGCCTATGTTGAAGAGATTGAAGTGCCTACACCTTTAGGACAGAAACGGACGTGTGTCCATGCGTCCATGGTGTTGAGGTGCCCTAGCATGGCCGGGAAAAGAACATGTTCGTGTGCATCTAGGCTTGCAGGCGAATAGGACGAGAGCCAGACCCAGATGCCAGTGTTTTGCGTTCGGACATTTGACCCTTCACCCCAACCCATCTCTACACCACGCAGCAGTTTCAAGAACTATTTGTACCCGCGCCTGCGGCCATGTTTGCGAAGGCAGAAAGGTGGCGGAAGCCGCAGCCCGTCGGCCCTGGCCCGGGAGCCTATGAGGCCCCGTACGGGGCGGGCTTCACGTTCGGCCGGCGATGGACGCGCGACACCTGCCCGGGCCGTCAGAGGCATCAGAGCCAGAGGCGAGTGGCGGCGCCAGCGGCGCTGCCTGGGCCCACGCTGCTAATGGCCCGGTCGGCGACTCCGCATGCGGAGACCGTACTGGGCAAGGGCGGCCTCGCCCAGGTGATCTTGGGCCATTTTGACGGCCGTAAGGTTGCCGTGAAGGTGGTGAACGAGAAGGAGAAGAACGGAGAGCTGCGGAAGGAGTTTGACATTCTCCAAATCGTGATTGACTTTGACGAAACGGGTGCAAGAAGCGCCATGCTATTGGAAATGCTGGGACCAT